AGTTACCTGTAACAAATAACCCTAACAAGCTACTAAAACTACTAACAGTCTGCTTAATGTTGTGTGATGCATCTGGTTTGTTGGTGTTAGTGTCTTTGGCTTGTCACCTCTCGCTTTCAGCCATCACCGCTGGCTAGCAGCAATGTGAAAAGAGAAGCAATTTATGTCTTCCCCTGCCAGTACATAGCCTCTCCACAACAAGTCCTATGCGATGCCTCCATGTGGAAGCAGACAGATACTAGGCACTGTTTGGTCCCAGGCTAAGTTCGCAGGGGCGCACATTAAGATGAGTCTCATAAGCTTGGCTGGCACCTCATGTAGGAGAGAAAACTGATCACAAGCCAATATACTGTATAAGTGGAAATTTTAGGGAGACGCAAATTTAGCGATTTGTCCTTAAAAACTGGTATTTTATTTTTAGCAAGATGTAATTTTAGCGATTTTAAATTGTCCATGAAAGAACCTATTACAAAAAAAATGCAATAAATTTTTAGTGATATGTAATTTTTGCGATCTCAGCAACCTAGCTAATAATGCCAAAATTAAATCCTCGCTAAAATTTCTACTTATACGGTAGTAGGAAACTGCTGGCTATTTATCCCTATTTAAATAGATGATAACCTTTGTCCATTGTCTGTTGTCATCTTTGTTGTAAACTTTCACATTTTCACCTCCTTCAGAACTTCTGGGGCAAATTCAACCAAACTTGGCACACAGTATCCTTATATGAATGGAATCAAGTTAATTCAAATGAAGGCCCTCAGCCCCTCACCCTCTTCCAAGAGGAGATAGTACAAATAAGTGAAAAATAAATGACATCTTTTAAAAATCTTCTTTTCAATAACCACTGAGACAGGAAAGCTGACACAGATGTGGAATCATCCCCAGGTAGTGTAAATTCAAATTTATTTGAATCAAGACCCCCAGCATTGGATGAGACCACAATTGGGGATCAAAAATATACATAGGAATACTATGTATATACTTGCCTACAAGTTGGTATTTTGGGAGTTTAAATTTAGTCCAAAAGCCTATGTCTGACTTATAGGCGAGTCAAAAAAGGCTGGTATTTTTCTGGATGGTGAATCATAGTATTCTATGAACATTTTCAACTTACAGCTATCATTGAATAAAGTATGGATATATTATATCATTTATGTATAATAAGATAATACATAAATTTTAGTATTTTATATACATGTATTGAAATTTTTTTTAATTCTTAAGAGAGCATTATTAATTTTTTTTAATTTAAGTTAAATATCGACTTCATTTCTAAACATATTAATCGAAATGAGGGTAAACATCAGAGTATTTATTAAAAATTGTCATCTGATTCTGTCAAAAAGTTGTACTGACTAATAAGCGGGTCAATGGCAAATCCCTGCCAAATAACTTTTAAAAAATACGACCGACTTAGGCGGACCGACTTATCGACTTATATAGGAAAAATCTTTATTAAAAATTTCTCAATAACAACAACGCTACAATAAGTCATATTGATATGGAATCATCTTTGGTTAATTAAGATTCCGAAATGGACAATGTACAGTCAAAGTTTTACATCGGAATTTATATATCTTTAAAGATCTCAAGAACAACAATTGCCATGACTGCATGGTCATATTTATATGATAGCATCCTCAGGTAGTGTTATTTAAAGTTTGTTCAAATCATGACCCCTGGGGGTTAAGGGGGGGGGTCAAAAAGTACATAGGAAATATAGAAATATCTCAAGAACAGCAAAGCTATGTTTATTCATATTGATATGGAAGCATCCTTGGGAAGTGTAGAAACCTTGATCCCAAGGGGGTGGAGGGGCCACAATAGGGATGATTTTTTTTAAACAAAGGAATATATATGAAAAAATCATAAGTCATACCCCAACCCACTCAAATGTTATGGGCAAGGTTAAACTTTTTGCAGACAGATAGGTAGACAGATGGCTGGACAGGACAAAAATTATATACTACAAAAACTTTGTTTATGGGAGCATAAAAAATGAGAGGAAAAAACAAACAAAACTGGGGAAAAATTGAGAGAGCAAGATGTGTTTGTGAAACACTGATGCACCTGTATGGCTGATGATAATGAGGGTTGAATTTTCTAAAATGCACCTCATACTCCTAAGGTAGTGGTCAAAAGGTCAAAAGTATTGGTACCCAAAGGAAGGTCTCGTTTCAAGGAATATATATATATATATATATATATATATATATATATATATATATATATATATATATATATATATATATATATATATATTTACATTTCCAATGTCTTTGTCCGAGATAAAATTACCAATTGTAAATGTAATTGATTTACTCATGAATGTCTTGGCGCGGTTCCAAAAATAACCACGTGTAGGGCGGGACAACGCCTAGAGAGAAGCAGGCTTGGAGCCCGTGGATTGGCGGAATCAAAGCATGTAAATATAAGGAATAACTGTCTTATTTTTCGAATTCATGAAGATGATCAATGGATTGGCTTGTGTGATAATTTTATGCATAAACGCCTTCGGCGTTTATGCAAATTAACACACAAGCCAATCCATTGATCACTTCATGAATTCGAAAAATAAGACAGTTATTCCTTAAATATATATACACACACACAGTGTATATACAGTGCTCAAAAGTTATGGCCAAGGTTAAAGTTTTTCAAGTGAATCAAACTCTAAGGTCAAGGTAAAAAATATTTATACCAACTGAACGGTCATATCAGAATGAATACATGTGTGAATGTTTGGAGTTTTTTTTTTGTGAAAGTGATTCAAACTCCAAGGTCAAGATGTCAAATTTGGCGGTTCCAAAGAAAGCTTTTGTCACAAGGAATGCCCCACCCACTCAAAAGTTATCATCAAGATTTTTTTTTTTTTTGCGGACCAACAGAAATTTTGTTTACGGGGGCATAAAAAGGCACAAAACTTTTAATGCTGCCTGCTTGAAATAACAAACATGCATGTTATATCAAGCAGAAGGTTCCAAGCCCTTAAAAGCAGAGAAGTTTTGGTGTTTATAATCTTATACTAGTAAGTGAAAATTTTAGGAAGACTCAAATTTAGCGATTTCTACCTAAAATCTGGTATTTTATTTTAAGTGAAAAGTAATTTTAGTGATTTTAAAATGCTAATAAAGGAAGCTATTACAAATAATACGCAATTAATTTTTAGCAATATTCTATTCTATCGATGTCAGCACCCTCACTAATAATGCCAAAATTAAAACATCCCTAAAAATTCTTCTTATACGGTATGTACATTACTGAATGTATGGAGTGCCAATTTAATGGAGATTTAACAAATCATTTTTTCATCATTGTAAGATATCATTATTTTATCAAATAATTACTAGCAATGGCATCTTCATCGTCTCAAGCCACGGTCCTACCCGCCAGATGGGAGAGGAGCGTACATTTTGGCCGTGGTTTGCGACGATGTGGCATCTTCAGTTCTTCTAATTTAATGAGTGTTTCGCTGTAAAATAATAATTTTTTAATGCAGCAAATAAATAGACAGGGCAAAAACTGATATACCCCCAAATATTTTATTACAGCTAGGGGCATGAAAAATTACTTGATTCTCATATTAAACTTAAAGTTTATTTGTAAAGGAGATATATCGCGACCATCCCAGTAACAGCTGATGTTCCCCAATTGCACCCTACTCCCTTTTGGTGTCCCAGTCTGCCCATATTCACTAAATATCTATACATGTATAAATTAAGGCAGATTCTTTGTAATGCTAGACTTAAAACTGCTTTTCCAAAGTAATATTAGAGCACAAAATGATTGTAAATCAATCAAATCAGCAGACATACAAGCACATGTGTTTTCAAAAATTAACCATTTACATCATCTCAAAATGTAGAATACATTTAGACTTTAGAGAATTTCACTGAAAACATGGAAAATTCCAGCAAAGAAAATATTACACACATGCATGCATTTTGCCCTTGCATTCATTTCAAACTGATGATATCATAATGCAGAGACTTGTAATACCATATTAACACCTACTCTGCCTTTTGTCTTGTGTCCTTGAAGTTAAACTAAGAAAGTTATATAGCCATGCATTTACAATATTTCAGCTCAAATGCATAAATTTGTGTGTTTTCTAGATTTCTCACATATTTATTCATAGTGTTTCATAATATATACACGTGCCTTAGTTTTCAATGTGTAATACAGTTATTCATTGAATGCATGGTAAGAAAGTTACAGCTGATTTAATATTATTTTGGTAAATCCCAATCATAGTTATTTAAAAGAAGTTATAGATTAACCAATCAAATTGCAGTATGCATGTACGCTTTCAAGAATTTTGAAAATCCTAATGGTATACAAATGTATTTTAACAATCAAAGTATTCTGTTAAAAAAAAGAAAGTAATAAATTGTAATATTTTTTCAGCCAACCAGAGTGAAGCATATATATGTATGAGTGTATAATTTGCCTACACTTCTGATAATTCTTTAAATTTTGATTGTTTCAAAGCATTTTAATGAAAATGAATAAAATTTACAGCAATGTTTAGATATATCATTCATTTTACTCAGTGCACACAGTCAAATGTGCAATAGCATGAATTACATTTAGTTCTGTTGGAACATGTCTACGCTGGGTTAATGGAAGGCTTTCATCATATTCAATAATAGGACTGGATTCTTGTAATAGAGGGAGCATTTTCTTGCCCTTTATGCTCAGATTGTATTCCAGTGACTTGCGTCTGGCAGGACTGGGCTGATGCTTGGAATAATCTGTAAACTTTTTCAGCTGTTCTTCCTTTACCGGATTTTTAGTATGAACTAACAATGGTGATGGAATGCTTCTCGTGGAATTAGATTCATTGTGTGTAGGACTTGGAGAGTCCTTGCCCAGAGTGAAAAGGAGTTGTCATGGATATAGTGTCATGATCATACTGTACTACTTATAACAACTTTATTAAATCTATATTCATTACTAATTGCATACTGTCATCTCAAAACATTACTAACCGTGTGTTCCTAACATATTCTTGTACTATTTCCACAACAAAACATTTCTTATACCCGTTGTAAACAGCCTTTTTGGGCCTGAAATGGAGTCCATTGAAACTTTTGCCTAGGTACTCTGCCATATTGCAAGATAATTCGGTCCATCGCGCTTCATGCAGGTATGAAATACAAGAGTATAGTTGAAAGAGGTCAAGGAAATATTTTGAAATCGAGTTTTGTACAGTTGGGGTAAGAATTTGGAGAAATTAATCCAAAAATGAGCGCAACTTTTTGTGCGTAATAAATATACAGTTTTTCTCAATATGGGTGGCACTGTAGCTCTCTGGTCACCCATCCCAATTTTTTTCAGACCAGGGAGTTACAGATCTGCAGCTAAGTCGTGAATTGAGCGATGTTTAATTCTGTCTAAGATACAGTGTGTAGTAAGACCAGGGTTCTGGTATGTAGAGAAGTCCCGGATATTTAGTACGAAGTGCTTCATCGTTCCATAAATACATCACCCACAGAAGTACTAATACTAAGGTGAGGGCAAAAGAGTACAAGAGGAATAGTCCATTAATATCAAGCTGGGAGTTTCCTGTACTTTTCTTGTAGACCATGTATCCCAGCATGAAGACGAATGTTAAAAAATACACAGGAAATATCTGTCCTTCTGTCACCAAGTACCTGAAAATAAAATAAATGTTACTCAGTCTCAAAGGAAAGTCAGTCTGAAGGAGGTCAATTTCACAAACGAATTCAGTTAAAATGTGTGTGTGTTTGGAGGGGGGGGGGTATTTTGTGTAGCTAGATTAAACTTTATATTGTATTTTCAACAGTTAATGCGTGCAGGTTTTCAATACTTTTCATACATTCATTACACTCTGGCCAATCCATATGCAGAAACTGTATAGGGAATCAATGTTTTCAACTTTTAAGAACTCGATGGCATATTTTTAAGAAGATTTCTATAAAAACCAAAGGTTGGTAATTGATAAATGACGGAAATTAAGCATGGTAATCTTCAGGCTTTTGGTGCTAACTAAGGGTAAATCGTATATACGTACCAGTAGTAAATACCACTCACAATGGTTAAAATCCACCACGAAAATGTAGTGCGAACACGCTCATGTGACTGATAGTTCAGAAAACATCCAATATAATATAGGAAAAGACAGAGAAAAAAGGGAATGTACCTGAAAAAGTAAATTCAGTGGTTTGAAAAGGATTTAAAAAAGGAAAAGAATCAGATATCGTGACACAGTTAGTTTTATCTCAAATACTATGAGATACATACCACATCAAATGACCTATAATTTCGTCGTAATTGTACAAAAGAACAAATGATTCAACCTGTAACAAAAAGAAATAGTTCATGTAAAAATAAGCCAGTGTTTTAAAACGCAAAATTTGAAGTAAAAAATAGATAGTTATTATAAAATATGCATGTACGTACGAGACCACGTGGTTGTAGAGATTGCATCATGGGATTGTCTCGGACTGAAAGATGAAGCTTATATCCTAGTTTGACAAGTCTGTGGTTAACCGAATCTCCCACAAGATGTATACTGGCTCCCATAACAAAAATAATTACACAGATATTTCTGAAAGTTGATGATGTTTTGGTATGACTTCTCTCAAAGAGCTAAAACATATGAAAATGGATGTCTTTACACTATACAATGTACATTAAAAATAAAACAATTTCTCTTAAATTACTTTTTTTTTTATATTATCCTGGCGATATAGAAATTTATTTCAGGTACTATTGATACTTAATTTACCTTCAGGATACAAAATGGAGTAATTAAATTATACATCATATGAAAGTAGTCCCCAACGCTGGGTAGATGCATTGGGAAGAGTTCTTCGGGAATCATCAACTAAAAAAAAAAAATAGGTAATCAAAGATTACGAAGCTCATCTCGACAAATGTTATCAGTTTAAGTAATGCAAATCTCGCATCATAATTTCTTAACAGTTAGTATTTATTCTGACAACAATATTCAAGCAAGTTCTGTTTAAAGCAATATGAACTGCAACTTTGATCTTGGAATTTTTTGTTGCAAAATTGTAAATAACCATTTGAATGGCAGAAAAAAGCTTTTATTGAATCAAAATTGCATTATTGTCGTCCTATACAATAATGATTTCTTAAATAATACTGTATATTCGATTGTAAAGAAGTCTTTCTTCAGAAACAATTTAATGCTTTATTTAAGTCTAATTGATCACAAAGGTTTGAATTACATACATTAATTTATCATGATAATACATTTTAATACATTTTTACAGCAAAATAAAATTTTCAAAAATGCAGCTCATACTGCTTTAAATAGGTCTTTAACTTCATTGGGATTGATCTGTTCCATAAATTTTGACCTGGTTATTCGCTTGGAAAATGTTGGTCAGATCCAGCATTCAAAGCAAGTTTTGATTGTTCATTCTTAGATGCATCATCCATGCAAGTTTGGTCCCGTTAGGTCTTACAGTAACTTGGGAATAACCTTGTCACTAATCTGGAAAATGTAGGTCAGATCCAGCATCCGAAGCAAGTCTGGTAGTATCCATCTCTAGATGCATCATCCATGCAAGTTTGGTCAAGGTAGGACTTATAGTTAATTGGGAATGGACCTGTTCCTAAAACTTTAACTGGGACGCCGACATCGACGCCGGGGGTATAGCATAAGCTCATCTCGACTTCGTCCAGGTAAAATAACAAGAGGCCCACGGGCCTTATAGGTCACCTGAGCATTATGCAACAATTTTCCAGTTATTGACTTTGATTCATGTTTTAAGCCAGATGCTATTTGACATTCACAATTTTGAAAGAGGCACCATTGATCATCATAACAATACACTTAGCAGTTGCTTAGCTTGGTTACTGAATACCCATATGCAGGGTAGGGGAACAAAAATGCATTCCAACTAACCAATAGTGCCCCTAACACTGTGACATAAACCCCTGACCCTAGGTCCACACATTGCACAAATTTCAAAAAAGGCACCTTTAATATAAAAAAATAAATAAATGTTTTATAAATACAAAAGAGCAGATTTCAAACAATAAATTCATTTTCAGTATATAAGTAGAGCCCCCACCCCACCCCTGACCCTGGGGCTTTGAAATTCACAATTCTGCAAGATTAGGGTCCTTGCTCATCATAACTATAAAGGTAATTCATCTGCTTTATACCCAGAGACAAAAAAAAAATTTCAAAGATTTAATGTATTTTCATAATATAATCAATTGAGCCCCGCCCCCCTAACACCAGAACCCCTGACCCTGGGGCCATAAAATTCATAATTTTAAAAGAGGCATTCTTGCTCATCATAACTATGTACTTAGTTTATTTAATTTCTAGGAGCAGAGAAGAAGATTTTCAAAGAATTCATGTATTTTCAATATATAATCAATAGAGCCCCGCCCTAACACCAGAAACCCTGACCCTGGGACCATAAAATTCACAATTTTGGTAAAAGTACTCTTGTTCATCATAACTATGCACTTAGTTAGTTTATTTAATACCTAGGAGCAGAGAAGAAGATTTTAAAAGAATTCATGTATTTTTACTATAAATAATCTATAGAGCCCCGCCCTAACACCAGAACACTTGACTCTGGGGCCATAAAATTCACAATTTTGGTTGAGGCACTCTTGCTCATCATAACTATGCACTTAGTTGGTTTATTTAATACCTAGGAGCAGAGTAGAAGATTTTCAAAGAATTCATGTATTTTCACTATATAATCAATAGAACCCCCCCCCCTAACACCAGAATCCTTGACCCTGGGGCCATAAAATTCAAAATTTTTGTAGAGGCACTCATGCTCATCATAACTATGCACTTAGTTAGTGTATTTGATATCCAGGGGCAGAGAAGAAGATTTTCAAAGAAATCATGTATTTTTACCATATAATCAATAGAGCCCCCCCCCCCCCCCTAACACCAGAACCCCTGACCCTGGGGCCATAAAATTCACAATTTTGGTAGAGGAACTCTTGCTAATCATAACTATGCACTTAGTTAGTATATTTAATACCAAGGGGCTGAGAAGAAGATTTTCAAAGAAATCATGTATTTTCACTATATAAATCAATAGAGCCCCGCCCTAACACCAGAGCCCCTGACCCTGGGGCCATAAAATTCACAATTTTGGTAGAGGCACTCTTGCTCATCATAACTATGTACTTAGTTGGTTTATTTAATACCCAGGAGTAGAGAAGAAGATTTCCAAAGAAATAATGCATTTTCACTATATACTTATTTAGCCCCGCCCTAGCACTAGAACCCCTGACCCCAGGGCCATGAATTTCACAATTTTGGTAAAGGACTCAATGCTGATTACAATCATGCAAACAGTTTGACTGCTTGATGTCCAGGAGTACAGAAGAAGATTTTTAAAGATTGCATTAATTTTACTGGTTTTGGCCCAACCCCTCAGGCCCCATGGGGGCAGGGATCATGAAATTCACAATTTTTGTTCCCCTTCACCCATAGATGCTTTGTGCCAAATTTGGTTGAAATTGGTTCAGTGGTTGCAGAGAAGAAGCTGAAAATGTTCAAATGTTAACACACGACGGACGACGAACGACGGACGACGGACGACGAACGACGGACGACGACGGACGAAAACGGATAGCAATAGGTCACCTGAGTTTACTCAGGTGACCTAAAAATCAAAGGATGTTGTAATAGAATGTGCCTGTATTTGGGTTCCTCTCTCTGTTTTGTTTATTGGAGTGAGATAGAGTTTACAAAACTGATAAAATATGTGATGATTAGACGGATTCTTTTGGTCACATTATATGTACATGTAACTACTGTAGATTCCTTAATATATGCGAGGAATTAATTATCGCGTAATTTCGCGAGAAGCACCACACGCGAAATAAAACTACTCGCCTTCATTTTTATGGTGCCGAAACCTATGTAAGATCTCTAGATAAACCGTCCATTCGCAAATTATTATTCTCGCGATTTGCAGTTGAAGAGCCCATTCGCGATAATAAGTACTCGCGAAAATAAGGAATCTACAGTATAGTATGTATCCTATCTCCCCCCCCCCCACTTCCGTCGATTACGATTAATACAGATCATGTGAGAGACTAAGAACTGCGTTTAGTTATTAGTGTTCTAAATCCTCTAGATTTCTGTTATACAGTTATGGAAGCGTACAGCGGCAATGGGTCTCCCGAAGTCAAAGATCCAGTTCTGTAGAGTCATTAGGAGCCATAGGTCCCAGTGGAAACTTTCCAATGAACGTCTAGGTTTGATGTCACTGGAAATTTTAAAACATTCATGATTTACTATTCCTGTGTATATTTACATTTGCATAATCTTTTTGTAAAAATTGAAATACATCTTGCATTCAGTTCAAACTATTTTCCGTTTGCAATGGAAAAATTATTACTTTTTTTCAAAAACTGATAGATTGAAAGTTTTTATTGCTCATTTTTACTCATTGTATGTAACATGTAAATTTTCTACATCATCATCGTTCGATGAGTGCTTGTGTACTCAGAACTGTGTATTGCGATGAAAATTTTGCAGTCTATGGATATTTTAAGGCACTGAATTATCGATGAATTAACACAATAGTAGTAAAGATGATGCATTTCCGTATGTATGAAAGCTTGCACCTGTATGTATGATAACTCTTTTACAGTGTAAGGAATTTTCCTTTTGCATTGTTATGAAATGAGCATTGAAAGCCACAACCTTGATAATTATAAGTAAAATACGGATTCACATTTCAAATTGAAGAAGAAGCATGCAAGATACATTAAAAATCTAAATTCATTGATTCTTCGCCAGAAATCAATTTTAATTAAATGTCATCCTTATAAAACTCATGCAGTACAATTATCCATGCACAATGCACGACTGTTATATTAGAAAAATTAGTATAGTAGTTCAAAGCTGAGCTGGAAAAAAAGAAATTAAAAAAGCCCCTGCAAACTTTGACATGTGCTGCAACATCCCCCGTACCCCACCTGTTACATTACCGAGCATCAGATAATTTAGCGTCATCGTAGGCTGTGTCCGATTCACTGTTAAAACCGTAAAATATATCATTTTAGATTAACAAGTACGTGTAATAATATGTCAGTAAAACAACATTAGGTAGCATTTGGTTTTCAGATTTTTAATATACATTGGGATAGAATTACATGTATTTGGTTTGTCAATCCGCAATAGGACCATAAAAACGAAACTCAAACATAACATTTTTATTTCTTATTCGTGTCTTCTAATTATTCTCTTTTCCATTCTCCCTTGCATAAAAATATAATTAATTAAAATGAAGATTCAACATTGCCATGGCTAATAACACAGAATAATGAACATCCTACCGAAAAGTGTGACGTTAAAGAAATATTGAGAGAGAGAGAGACCTAAACTGAGTGGATGTTAATCAAATACTACTGAAGAATACTTCTTGAAGTATACATCGCATGTAAAATATAGTAAGTGCTTTATATTTAACCGGAATGGACTTAATCAGACTTGGAAGACTGAAGTTATAACTAGGCAACGTCATCATTTTTGGAACACATGGCGCACAATAACCTGTTATCTATCAAGGATCCCATTTCTCCCAATATGTTACACGATTTAACAAATCCAGAGGACACCACTATATCATATAATGATATATATACATTTAAATTGTTTATTGATTTGAATAAAAGATAAAATTATGGTTTGTTTCTAAGAATGCTAGTAATTATTTACGTTCGTTTTATAAACGTCAAACAGGAAGGCTATTTTACAGTGTATTTTTAGAGTCACTGCATTATTTCAGTAGTCCCTTGTTATCAATAAGCGATTCACTGGGTCGATCGTTAGATTTTTGTAAACACGTACTTTGCCCCCCTCCCACTCACCGTGCGTCCTCAATCATGAGGCCTTCTAGGTCTTCATCATTTCGCCCCCTCCGTCGGACTTTGTTTCCAATACTAGTGGCCATTACTGTCCCTCAATTTCTTAGTTTAATCCTGTGAACGTCACTCTGAATTTCAGATAATACGTAAACTGACTCCGTCGTGTTATATTTACTCAAAACGATAATTAAGTGTTATCTTAACCCCAGGCTCAATTTAATGATTTACACCTGTAAAAATGCTTTCCAAAGTTTTATTAGATTAGATTTATCTTTCTCTGTAGTTTAGCAAAT